CAAAATTTTTACAAAAATTTAACTAAACTCATCTAATTAATTTAAAGTAACACTAACTTAACTTTTCCTTAACATTAACTTAACTTTAACATAACTTTTACTTTACTTTAATGCACCATTAACTTAAATTTAAAAACTTCAACTAAATTTTCACTAACTTTAACTAAATTTTAACTTACAATTTAACAAAAACGATTAACTTTAACTAAAAATAATTTAAATTTTTGAAATTTTTTCCTCAATTTTAACTTAACAAGAACTTCCAACAAGTATCAAGAAGTTTCAAGGAGGTCCATGAAATTCTGAGATCTTTCAAAAAGTTCAAGAAGTGGCAAGAACTTAAATAAAACTTCCATAAAGTTCTCTGGAAATATATTTAACCTAACTTTCACTGTACTTTAAGAAAACTTAAAAATAACATTAATCAATATTTAACTTCTCTTTAACTTCACATTATTGAAAATTAACTTTAACCGTACACACCATCATATCTTTAAAATATATTAAACTTAACTTTATTTTATTAACTTAACTTAACTTTAAGTTTAACTCACCTTAAATTCAACCAAACATTATCCAAAATTTAACATCAACATAACTAGACTTAAACTAAACTTCCCAACTAACAATTTTAGGTGCAGATTACCATATCAACCATATTTAGCCTAAAATTGGTACACATAATAAATTCTACACATTCTTATCGACGAATTTATACGTAAAATTCCCACAGAATTCACACAGAGTTACACATGAAATTTATGAGTCAAATGAATAGTATGTGTGACTACACATCGCTTTTATGTGTACACACATTGGGTATGTGTCCGACACATAGATATCATTTGTTGATCACATTGCAAAAAATCATGTGTGGAACATATAAAACAATGTTTAATTTTTAATAGTGTGTCAACATCCAATTACAAGATGTTAATAAGAACTTCCAAGAAGTTCCCAAGAACTTCCAAGAAGTTCCCAAGAACTTCCAAGAAGTTCCCAAGAACTTCCGAGAAGTTCCTAAGAACTTCCAAGAAGATCCCAAGAACTTTCCAAGAACTTCCCAAATACTTCCAAGAAGATCCCTATAACTTCCAAGAAGATCCCAAGAACTTCCAAGAAGTTCCCAAGAACTTCCAAGAAGTTCCCAAGAACTTCGAAGAAGATCCCAATAACTTCCAAGAATATCCCAAGGAGATCCCAATAACTTCCAAGGAGATCCCAATAACTTCCAAGGAGATCCCAATAACTTCCAAGGAGATCCCTATAACTTCCAAGAAGATCCCAAGAACTTACAAGAAGATCCCAAAAACTTCCAAGAAGTTCCCAAGAACTTCCCAAATACTTCCAAGAAGATCCCAATAACTTCCAAGAAGATCCCAAGAACTTCCAAGAAGACCTCAAGGAGATCCCAATAACTTCTAAGAAGATCCCAATAACTTCCAAGGAGATCCCAATAACTGCTAAGAAGATCCCAAGAACTTACAAGAAGATCCCAAGAACTTCCAAGAAGTTCCCAAGAACTTCCCAAATACTTCCAAGAAGATCCCAATAACTTCCAAGAAGATCCCAAGAACTTCCAAGAAGTTCCCAAGAACTTCCAAGTTCCGAAGAACATGCAAGAACTTCCTATCGGGTTCCTGCTTCAATTTCCCAATCGCTCTCCCTTCCTCACAAAAAGAAACTTACATACTCAGTTCATTCACATCACTATAAACAATGGATGGAACAGTAATGATGTTCGGATCTAGCTTCATTGTCCTTATTGAGATCCGAGATCTGGCTTCGGTTCCCTATTTCCAACACGTATGTATGTAGAAGTGCTGAAATCCTGCCGGGTGTCCTCTAAAACAAACATTTTGAAAAGTTATTTCACAGTGATCACTTAAAAAACACTTCATGTTCACAATAAGTATAATATTTACCTTCATTCAGCTTTCCATCGAAAGCTAATTCCTGCTCCACCTCCGTTAATCTGGAATTGTACTGGATCAGGCTGAAAAAATGTCAACAAAAATTATCAACATTGCTTATTTTTTTGCATGCAGTATATTTACCATATTTACCTATTCTAATTCCATTTGCCGGCTTGTTTCTTCCGTTAATCGTGCCGATAAGCTCCCGAGAGAACCATCCGAAGTTAATTTCGCGGCCAGATAAAAAAAAATACGTGTACTAAACACGCACGAGATAAAAAAAATGGCTTCCCACGTAATCAGCCACCGCAAAAAAACGCAAAAAAAATCACAAAAAAATGGCTATGTTCCATCCGCCATTTGGTAGCCCGGCGCATGAAATTACTCTAGCGGGGCGAGTCGCCTTTTGTCCGGATCCCGGAGCGCCATTTGGTTGCCCGGCGGATGAAATTACTCTAGCGGGGCGAGTCGCCTTTCGTCCGGATTCCGGAGCGCCATTTGGTCGCCCGGCGGATGAAATTACTCTAGTGGGGCGAGTCGCTCTTCGTCCGCATCCCGGACAAAGGGCGAACGATCAGTTTTCAAGTCGCTCAATGTCAAATGACGTCACTTTTTCGCCGGCAATTCGTGTGGGCAAGTCTACCTATTGAACTGTCAAACCGGCTACCTATTAGGTTTTGCACCGTCGGGGTTAACCTCAATCTGATGACAGTTCAGTGGTACTGTTTACGTGGACTTAGTCGTTTTTTTCTTGGGTAGATTTTCTCGATAATTTTTCAGACTGCAGTGAGATGTAACCCGCATAAACGCGAACCATCACATGACCTTACCGATAATGGTTATAAATTGTTTATAATCCCTGCTAAACTTCAACTGAAATGGTTATGGAACCTTACATGAACGTTTGTGTGATAAAGTTTTAACCTTATGTGTTATGGTTTTTTGGAAGCGGACCTTACAAATAATGGGTTGTTAAGAACCATTACCATTCCAAATTCTTGTTTTCTCCATACATTTTCGGAAAGAGAACTATATTAGAACGTTTTTACTTATTGTTTGAGAACATTAATGGTTATGGTTATGGTAGTCAGTAAGGTCCATTAATGGTTTTGTAACATCACTCAACTTTACGTGAAATATATCGTGAATTGGTAATCAGTAATTTACAGGCAACCAATTCGCGATATATTCCACATAAAGTTGATCGATGTTACAAAACCATTCATGGACCTTACTGGTTACCATAACCATTACCATTAATGTTTTTAAACCATAAGTTAAAAGGTTTTAGTAAAGTTTTCTTTCCGAAAATGTATGGAGAAAACAAGAATTTGGAATGGTAATGGTTCTTAACAACCCATTATTTGTAAGGTCCACTTCCAAAAAACTATAATACTTAAGGTTAAAACTTTATCATTAAACGTTCATGTAAAGTTCCATAACCATTTCAGTTGAAGTTTAGCAGGGATTATAAACAATTTATAACCATTATCGGTAAGGTCAATTTATGGTTTGCGCTTATGCGGGAAACCACACTTCTGCATTGTCCACGAGCAACATCCTTTCACCGCACTGTTTCTCGACAATTTTCAAGCTAAAATTCAGAAATTTTAGAATTTGTTTTTTCGAAAAAACGACTAAGTAGTGCTTGTAAACAGTACCACTGAACTGTCAAAAAGGTTCAGCCTATAGATCAGTGCACGGTCCCTAACCTCACTTTTTGCTCCCTATCATTTTGCTTCTGAGTAAAAGAGATAGCAACGAATGGGAGCCAAAACAAACCACCCAAAACTGTCAAAACTTACGGGTGAGATAAGAGTGCGGCAAATTTTCGTGAACTGATCAATTAACACTGAGTTCATTTGTGACGTCACGCTGCAGAACCTAATTGTGCAAAGTAAACAAACATTACGATGCTATGAATGGTCCACGAAAGGTATTGCAATAAAATATAAAATAAAATTGAAGAAATGATCATAAACACGCAGTGAGCATTAAATTGTCATGGGATACGTTTGCTAATGATCAGTAATGAGAACTTCTACTATTGTTTGATAAGATAATTTGACAAAATCACTGATATAATAATTCACTACAGCCGCAATTTTTTTTTTCTAGCTAGAAGTCATTTGAAGTTGATGTAGAAGTCCTCTGTTGCCAAGTGAATAGAAAGGGAATCCTTCGAAAACCGTGATGCGAGTTCAACTGTTTTTCTCTTGGCGTGACTCATTATACACCGACTCTACACTGTAACTGGAAAGTACCCATTAATGGGTGAAAAAGTGCCCATTTCGAAGTAAAGTAGGTAAACTCATTTAATGGGTAAAACGTCTTTACCCATTAATGGGTAAAGACCTTGTACGTCAAATCATGGGGTACTTTTTTACCCATTTTTAAATAATAATTGGCTTTATAGAATGGGTACAAAGTACCCAATTTTGAAATCCTTAAACCAGGATTTTTCTTTTAGAATTTGTATGATTTATGGATCATTGAAAGAGCCACAATGAATAGTTAAGAATACAAAACGTTATTTATATTTATATCTTTATTTCACCATTTTCCATCCAGTGGTCTTTCCATCGTTCGTGCAAGAAATGGTGCTCCCAAAGCTCTCCTGGGATCTCCTTGCTGATCCGGCTAGTTCTGTCCCTGCAAGTTTCAGATTGATGTTTAGATGTGGGCAGAAAGAAATAAAATAAGAAATACCTACTTTTCAAACGAGCAATTTCCATTCGACATCGTTAAGACACTTTGCGACTGAAGCGAGGACTGGAAGATGTTATCTAAGTTGCTTTTCACCCATTAATGAGTAAAAAAGTACTCATTATTCTCGCCCGAAGCGCTCTGTAAAAGAGTACCCATTATTTGAAATTGAACTTCACCCATTATTTGACAGCCTCATATAGTCATCAAAAATGGGTCCTTTTTTACCCATTAATGGGTACATGACAGTTGCAGTGTAGGTCGAGGGAATTACACGAAAAGAGGATGATATTTTGATACAGTGTGGAACGTCATCGGTAAGTCGAAAAAAGCAGGAAAAAGGGAATAAAATTATTAGCCATCTAAAAGTCACCTGAGACAGTGTCGTTTCTATGAGCAGTGGTTTTGAAGTAACTAGATATCGTTTCAATCAATTATTCAATAAGATCATCGTGTTTCCATAATCCACAAAAGAATTGATTTCATTCGTTTATGCAGTAAGGTAAGATATTGAAGGATGTCTGGTTTGGGAAAATATAAATCAATCTTCAATAAGATCAAAACTGCTTTATGCAGTAGCATGCAAGTGAAAAAATCAGACGAGACCGAAATTTCGGTATTGGAAGCCGGAGAAATGTTCGGTCGTTGCATGTATTAAATAACTAGTAAATATATTCGTACGGGTACCACAGTATTGATTAGACGTTGGTTAATAGGATTTGAATGGGCTCTGAAAATAGAACGGCGTGGTAAAAGTTTAAGTACCAAGGTACATGTTAACATGAAAAATGGGTGTGAGAAACCTTTTATTCTCGATTACTTTTTCAAAGGGACGTATATGCTTTTGAAAAATCTGTAAAATAATTGTTTAAATCCTTGTTTACAAAAGCAGATATGTCCCTTTGAAAAAGTAATCGAGTATATTTTCATTGATCTATCATGGAAAATAGGTGATAACTTTGTGTAAATTTATTGTTTATGCTTTATTTATAGATGCTAAAAGCTAAGGCCTTCCTTTTACTTGGATCGGTTCTGCTGCTGGCGCCGAAGGTTTCTGCTAACGACGATGGAGTGACGGTCGAGACGAAAGATGAAAGAGTATTATCTGATGATGCCGCTAATGACCTATCATACGAGAGTCCGTATGCTGATCCGGCAAAATACTATTTTGCTGACCATTTTGATGACCAGGAAGGATTCTCTTCGCGATGGATAAAATCTCAAGCAAAGAAGGATGATACTGCTGATGAAATAGCTAAATACGACGGTGAGTGGGATGTAGAGTTGCCCAAGAAACCACTGTTGCCGAACGATTTAGGATTGGTTTTGAAAACGAAAGCCAAACATTCGGCAATTGCATCTCGTTTGAATCGTCCTTTCGTTTTTTCCGACAAACTGCTGGTAGTGCAGTATGAAGTTAATCTTCAAGACGGCCAGGAATGTGGTGGCTCGTACATCAAGCTGCTGTCATCTGGAAAGGAAACAACCGATCTGAAACAGGTATGACTAATTATTATATTTTTGTCTACTAGCTGTTTCAACTAGCATGAATTAAGGACGTCACGCAAAAATCAGGAAAAATACCACCCACCCCCTCCTTCATTTCTTCACGTCCTATATTAGGTATGTTCCCGTACTTGCTTTTCTGTAAGATTATATACAGCAAAAAGCAAAAGCATTCCAAATAATTTAGGGAAAACGACTATAAAGTGCAATTACTTGAAGTACTTTCATTGTTTTTGAAATTGAGAATGATACTGATGAACACTGCACATTGCACATATCATGGATACCAAAATTAATTAAGTGGAATGAAATGGAAGATAACCTTTTTTGCTGTTTTATTTAAGCATTCCACTAACAACATTACTTCACTATGATGGTTTTGAGTTAGGTTAGAGATTTGAATAGATTTATCTCCTTTACTTTATTGAAATCTTTAGTTATTATTAGTTAGGTAGGTTTAGTTAAATCTGTCCATAAATCACGTAGACCAATTTTTAAACATTGCAGATCCTACCTTCCCCCTCGTATACTTTCCTAAAATTTTAAAATATTTTTACCGAGCGTTTTGGCTGGACTCCCCTCCCTGATTGAAGTCTTCGTGGCTTTAAAACAGGCCCCAGTTTTATATTGTTAAATTTGATATCAACATTCTGGGATAAGTACTTAAATGCTACAAATAATGACGAGGTCGAAGAAAAATAAGTGAAACATGAAGCATTTATTTTCTTAAATTACAATTTCACACATTTTTCTTCCTTTTGACAATAATACACTTTTCGTTTTGAGGCTTAAAACTATGGAATTGACTGTGTCCCCGAAATTTGGTTCACACGTATATAACGGTTTCAATTTTCTTTCCATTTTATTGTAATCCATGAATAGCCCATGAATAAAGTTCTTGGGCCGTTGTTATATGGTGGGCTTGCAAACTCGGTTTCACAGCGTTTCGTTTCAATACTCCTCCCTAAGCATCACAAGGGCCCTTTCCATGACAAGTTGCGAAAAAATTCCACTCGGCAGTAATGCCAAAATCTCTTTGCATGTTGCATAAATTAAAAGCGGTCATCTTATTTTTATATTGGCTTCCTGATCCATCTGAGAAAAAGTAAATCTGTTGTAAGTCTGGGAATTTACATTTTATGAACGCTAGACAATGCGTAAGAAATACACGAACTGCAACATGATTATGTTTAGTGAAATCAGCAATTGCAATAAAACTAGTAAATTTCAAATCGTTCGATTCTTCGTCTTTAAAATAAATAACACGAGGGTGAATAGTACATTGGGCGTTCGCCCAATGAAAGCCTTGAACTGCATCCTGCACAACGACCCCGGTGTAGTGGTTAACATCCATGCCTCTCACGCCAAAGTCACGAGTTCAAATCTCACCCCCGGACAACCCAAGAGTGTTAAAGTGACAATAATAATAAAAAAAATAAACTAATCTTCTTTGTACGTAGATTCCGGCTTCATCATTTTAAGATATTAAATAATCTCTTTTCCCCTGACAAACACGACTTATATCATCACTATTGTAAAAATCACGAACAAGCATTATCGTTTGTTCTCCTCTGCTTAACCTCTTTACAGGCACCGACATTATTACTTTCTGCAGTGCTTTTGCTTGGTTGGCCATATGTTGGGAAACATTGCACTCCTTCATAATTCTATATGTAGATCAACGTTTGGGAAGTGTGGTTAAAATCCTGTATCGTTCATTGCTGTCTATCGTTTCTTTATATTTATCCTTAAGTTATATGCGACAGTTAGAAGATACTGAGAGGTTAGCACATATCATCGGCAAGAGACGTGCGTGTGAGAAAATGGTGGGAGTCGAGTTTCTAACGCCTTTGGATACGGTTGTGTGTTAAGTTCGTTCTCTGTTTTGTGCGTGCATTCGCTTTCATAGTTTTCGGCTGCATTTGCCGGATTAGCGCTGGCACTCTGCCTCCCGGACGGTTATACGTGTGTGAGTGTTGGTTTCTCGCTTTCCGAGAAGTTTTAGAATCGAGAAAGAAAACATGATTCATCATGTTTGCAAAATTGGCGTGGTTTGATTGTTTCTCCCGGACCAGAAATTTGTGGCATCGAAAATTTTAATTTCTGTTTATTTACGCGGTAATGAGAAGTGCGCTGATCTATTGTCAGGGTTTTGAGATGTGCATTGCTTTTATACACGGAGTGACTTGAAAAAGAAAAGTGAAGAAAAGTGGTTGTTGTGTGGTTGGAGTGGAGGAAAAAAAATATGCGTGGAAGCATCGGGAATGCGCTCCCGGGTGAAGTGATTTGGTGAGAACGTTCCAATTGAAGATTGTTGACAAGTGTATTTGTGGTGATGCAAATTATGGTTTAGATGACGCATGGCCCCAAACATTTTGTGTATCCAAATAAAACATATTACATACTAAATACGCACAGGGCATCGTCTGCTGACCATTGCCGCGGGTATATCGTGGGAGTCCCAGGTACCCGGTTCAAGCTTTAGTTGGCGGCGGTGGCTCTTCTTGACCTTCTACCCCCTGAGTAGTTAGTGTGAATAAGGGCGTCTATGTGATGTTTTGCTGTACCTGTTGTGGACATCTAGTGCATCCTGTTCCCTTAACTTGTTGAGGACACCCTGTCTTGCCTCAAAAGTTACCCTTTTTGAAGTACTAGTCTTCACAACATAAAGGGCACCATTACGGAGCATGAGATTTGATCAAATTATTCGCAGTTCTACTTGTCCAACGCCCCCGGCTGGGTGAGGGATAGAGGATGACACACACACACACAAGAGACGTGCGTGTGAGAAAATTTGCGAAAAAATCTAAGGGCACCGGTGGGATTCGAACCCACAATTCCCATTCAGTACACGGGTGCATTGCCAATTATACAACGGTGGACCTATGGTCTACGGATGTATTTGGCTAATGACATATGAGTTTCGAATCCGTTTCCCTCCCTAATTAATTAAGTTGTATAAGGAATTTATTTTCGTCCGACAAAGGTGCGTTGTAGGTGGTAACGATCGATTCTGCACTGGTTGTTTCCACTGACTCTGAAAATAAATATAAAAATGACTGATTATTAGAAACATTTATTGTTTTTTTATTTATTTTTTTATTATTTACCTTGGAAAGGAAGGGAACCATTCTGGACGGTCCCGCAACGGCAATCAATTCAATACTGGTTGCTTCGATGGACTCTGAAAAATGATTGCAAAAAAGAAGAGTTTAAGTTAGTAGTTTGAAGAAAAGAACTGAAATTTAAAGAAGAATCACATGAATTTTCAAATAACGTACCTGAAGCAGCGACGGCTTATTCGGTCACGGCATCACTGGGTTCATATAGTTTGTGGTAGCAACGTTGACAAATGAAGGAGCTACTCTCATATATTTTAATCTTTTTTTCCACTGCATAATCGTAAAATTTATTGGTGATTTTTCTGGCACATGAACTCAACATCCAAACACCACACATTGAACACTTACGTTTCATTTTTAGATATTCTTCGATTCAACTGTTCTAGTAGGAAACTTTGTTTTCTAACTGATCATTTCTTTCATAATATTCCTTGTTTTATGTGAAGCATTATATCGTACCTACGAGTGAGTGATATACCTACGAGTCTAAGCTGTAACTCATAGGTATATCACTCGTTCGTAAGCAATGACGTCACTACAAACAGCTGTTTCAGGTAAATAGATGAACATTGCGAATAAATACAAACACCACCAAACATTTCCAAATGTCACTAACACCACGAAGCCAGGTTGGAGCTTATGTAAAAGTGAACGAACGAGTGATATACCTATGAGTTACAGCTTGGACTCGTAGGTACTGATGCAACATGCAAAAAGATTTTGGCATTGCTGCCGTGTGGAATTTTTTGCAACTTGTCATGGAAAGGGCCCTATGGAAGGAGTATTGAAATGAAATGCATAAACTTTTTGCAAATTCCCTCCCCTTGGCTAGTTTTTGCACCTTGCTGTTGGTGGGCGGGCTTAATTTCATGCTTTATAGTGGAGTGTTGGAGACGGTAGGTTTATGGTCGGTGTTGCTGGCTCATGCCGCGATAGAATGGCGACATGGGCAGGCGATGGGGATTACTAAGCTTCCCCTCTCTGATAAACCGCTGCATGAGAGAACCAAAGATCTAGTCTAGCAGTGATAGTATCACACTTGTTACTCCTTTTATTGAGAGCCGCGTCGTAGTACGCTTACGTATAGGCACTGACGTTGGGTGTGATACTGGCGGGTTTTGCCGCAAATCACTCTTATTTTATTTATTTTTTACGCAGATAGATTTATTTGGGTTTGCAAGGGAATTATACTATTGAAATATTTCAGAAAGTGCCCAACAGTGCTCCTTCTATTTGCGTGACAAGCTTTCATTGTTGTTTTCATTGAGGTATTACTCAGAAAACAATGTTAAACATCATTTTTGTACATGGTATTGTAACTAATCTTATATGTGCTTCATTTTGATTTGGGATAAGTGTTTGAACTATGGCTCGGGATTTCCACTGTGGTGTGCTTCTATTGTGACATGCCCATATGTATTTTTGTGGTGCCACATAGTGGAAATGTGAGAGCGTAGTTGGAACATTTACCCTATACAATATACAATTTAAAATTAGCTTGGAAACTAACTTCAAAGTGAAGCATTTTAGTCACTTGAAGGTATCATTTTAGTCACTTGAAGGGACGAACAAAGATATAAGATAAGATAT